AAATTAAAGCCAAGAAACCCTCTGTCGCATTTTCAAACAAAATTTAAGTGGAAAAGCAGTATGTACAAGGAATAAAAGTGGAGCTGTTCAGGAGGAGGCAAATGTGGGTGAACCCCTCGCTCTTCCAAAGCCGTCACTCCTGAGAGCCGCCCAAGGGAGGGTTCTACCATAGGGGTACCTTTCCTGGGCCTCAAATAAGGAGAGGACTGACATAGGGATTGGAGCTGAGGTCAGGACCTGTCTGCAGGGATCTGAAGGTTACCGGGGAGGGGTGATGGGCAGAGAAATGTGGTGGGTGGAACGGGGCATGCACTCCCCAGGGGACAAGCTCCTGCCCATCCTCACCTGGACTCCTGCCTGCCTCTCTGGTGTCTGAACAGAGACCCCCGAGGTGGCAGCACACAGCTGGGGCCAGACCTTTCTCTGGCAAACAGCTCACCTGGCAAAAGGGAAACTTTTTCCCTTTGCCCTGGGAGAAGGAGGAAGCACAGTAAAGATGCAGCAAAGACAAATTAGCTTACCTGAGCTGCATTTCCATCACTCATCACACAAGAATCTATTGAGCGCTTATTGTTTGCTAGACATCATTCCAGGCATTAAGAATATATACCAGTGAACAAGCCAGACACGCTCGGCTGGGCGCGGTGGCTCACGCCTGTAATCCCAGCACTTTGGGAGGCCGAGGCAGGTGGATCACGAGGTCAGGAGTCCGAGACCAGCCTGACCAACATGATGAAACCCCATCTCTACTAAAAATACAAAAATTAGCCAGGCATGGTGGTGCAGGCCTGTAATCTCAGCTACTCAGGAGGCTGAGGCAGGAGAATCACTCGAAACCAGAAGGTGGAGGTTGCAGTTAGCCGAGATCGCGCCACTGCACTCCAGCCTGGGCAACAAGAGCAAAACTCCATCTTGAACAAACAAACAAACAAAAACCAGCCTGGGCAACATGGCAAAACCCCGTCTCTACAAAAAACAGAAAAATTAGCCTAGTGTGGTGGCGCATACCTATAGTCATGAAGCAAGTCAGCCGCCTCCTCGCCTGCCCAGAACTCCGCGGATCCCTCAGCCTCTGCCCTCGTCAGTCCCTTGCACGACTTCCCTCCAAATGATCAGAACCCAGTGGGAATCCAGGGTATACCCCGGCTGGCCCCTAATTCTCTCCTGCCAGGAATCCCTCCCCCAACCTGAGCAACCTCTAAGAGACAGGGAGGGCTGCTGGTGCGGAGCTTGTCTGTGGGCGAAACAGCTCACCACGTTGGAAGGAGAATTGGGTCTTTGGGAGCCTCTCTGGCCTTGAGCCAGCCCAGGACAGGCATCAAGGAGGGCCAGGCAGCCAAGGTGCTTCTGCCTGGCAGGAAATCAGGATGCCAGATGCCAGGAGCAGCCACCTTGGCTGGGTTCCCTGTGCTTATACCCCATAAGGCCCCTCCCCTTCCCACGTGTGGCCGTGGTTGCCTTGCAGTCATGTGGGCGGCAGCCACATTTCCAAAGGAATAGGAGCTGCAGGCAGGCCAGATGGAAGCAATTGCCAAGGGAAAGCAGCAGAGGTGGAGGCTGGGGGGCTGGGGGGCTGGGAGGGCCCGCTGGGAAGGAGGGAAGGAGGAAGGAAGGAGGGAGGAGAATCCTGTCCTGCCTCACCCTGCCCAACCGAGAAAGCGAACGAGCCTGTGCTCAGGGTGCCGGCCCAGCCAGGATGTAGGGTTCGGGAGAGCACTCAGAGCCCAGGGTTTGTGTTCCACCTTTGACGCTAATACACTGTGGCCTTGAGCAAACCCCTTCACACCTTTGAGCTGGGATCTGTTTCTTCATCAGGCAAAATGAGCAAACTCCAGGGGGCAGTTGAGAACTGGGCTGAAAAGTGAAGGTTTTGGAAGCAGGCCTGGATTTGAGTCCTAGCTCAGCTGCTTACGAGCTATGTGACCTTGGCCAAGTAACTTAATCCTTCAATCCTCCATTTCTTCATTTATAAATGGGCTTAATTACAGGGTTGTGTGAGGCTCACATGAAGTGATGTAAAGCGTCTAGCACATCTTTTTTTTTTAAAGTTTATTGAGCCAGGTTTTTAATAAGTGCCTGATTGCTAAACGGTAATATTTTTGTTATTTGCTGAGGCCATTTTCATTATGGGGACAGATGTTCACCCATGCTGCAGTTGGCAGAGGACGCAGAGCACAAGTAGGGTCGCTGCAGACCAGCATGCCCTAGCACTCTCCAAACTGGTCCCAGCACTCTCTGGGGCTGCCTCCCCTAAACAGGAAAACAAGATCCTGAGGACCCCAACCCCCATGCACAGGCTTGAATGAGCTGCAGGTGGGACAAAGGGGCTCTCCTACTCAGGTGTTTCTGGGCTTCTGCAGCCAGGCCTTCCTCACAATCAAGGCCCAGGTGGGAAACTGAAGGCCCAGCCAGACCCACACCTCACTTCAGCCCAAGCAGCAGCAACCTCCTCTTTGCTGGGCCAGCAGCGGAACCCAGGGCTTCCGTCTAGGGCAATCCTATCATCTTTCTGCAGGGCAGTGTGAGATGCAGGGGAACAGAGATGGGGTTGTGGCCTGGCTGTAGGTCCCAGGCAAAGGGCTCAGCCTACGCTAAAAACCCACAGCTCTGGAGGCTCACACCCTCTAACCCCGAAAAGCAACAACCCAAGCAACTCTTTGGGGGAAATTCAGCCCCTGCAGGGCTCAGGGGCTCCGGTCAGAGGCGGACAAACACTTGGCTAGGGCCTGGGCATCGCATGCTGCTGCTACCACGTGAAGCTACACTGACCACTTCCTCAGTCTGCAGAATAAAGGACATCATTCACACACCTCCATCCCTGAAATGTGGCAGGGGTTAGGGGTGATTCTGAGGCCAGGGACAGCCAGTAGCCCATCCAGGGCCACTCAGGACACTCATACAGTAGCACTGAACACCTCTGGGAAGGGGGCAACAAAGAAGAGGGGGTTAATGACAACAGTCACCCAAATCCGCCTGCACTCACCATTTCCTCCCGGCAACCAAAAGCTTAAGGTCAAGGTCGTGGGTCTTGAGAAGGAAGGAGGATCCCAGGGTGAGGGGAACACAGAGCGGGAGCTAAACCACCTGCAGCGGCCTGCTGCTGGGAAACGTCCAGCCGGCCCAGTGCGACTGAGCTGAGGGGGCAGGAAGCAGTGACTGTGTGCTTGGGGTGTCCCACCCTGCACTGCCAGACTGCCCCACCTCCAGCATCCAAGATCCATCTCCGAGGAGCCAGGAGCTGGGCTAGGCTCTGGTGGCTGATTAGATAGCAATCTGTAGGCTTGGACTTCAGACCCCACTTGCGGCCCAAGCTCCCTCTCCATCCTCTGCGGGTCCCTCAGCCAGCTCCTTTCCCTATCAGCCCAGGGTCTGGAACTTGGCAGGCATAGAAACATTGGTATTAGAGGGGTCCCTTCCCTCCAACAGGTGGTGCAAAGCTTTGAGCCATTCTGAGAAGAATTCCCAATTCCATTGGGACAACCCCTGGAGCAGCCTCTGAGGAGGGACCCAGAGAACGTGCCCAAGTCAGACCTGGGGTAGCCCCCAAGGCAAGGGCAGATGGCGGCCAGTGGGGAGTAAGGACAGAATGACACCTCAAGATGGAGCACAGAAAGGGGGTCTGGCCTCTGCTCCTGCCGGGGATTAAAAGTCCAGAACGGAGCAGATTCTTAGTTCTATCCAGAAATCTGATTCTAGGAGTCTAACGAGGTTGGGAGGCTGGCCGGGGCACCGCACTCTGTTCCTGAGAAGCAGAGGGCCAGTCACTGCTTCAGTAGGGAAGACAGTCCGGAGGCACCTCAGCCTGGGCCCTCAACTCACAGGGAAAGCGGCCCTGTTGTCTCTGAACAACAACCTATCCCCCAACCAAAGACACCCACTCTGCCCAAAGTCCAAGCTGGCAATTTCGAATTCACTTTTCTAACTTCTCCTTCCATGTGTGCACCCTCACAACCTCGGCTGCCATCTTGGAGTCTGGGGGATCTGGCCCCAACTCCTGGCAAGCTCCCCACATCTTGACGGAGCCCAGGCCCTAAGATCACCCACCCAGCACAATGGGCGGGGCACAGGAGCAGTCTGGGAGCGGGCCAGGAGCAGGGCAGGGAACGGTCCCAGGAACCCGGGACACCTGAGCTTGGTCAAGGGGCATTCCCAGACCAGCTCTCAGCAAGCAAAACAGCCTCCCGAGTTCATTTCTAGGCCCCAAACAGCCGGCGCGTCCCCGGAACCCGCTCTAGAATTATCGGGCAGCTTTGGAGAGTAACAGCATGGGAGAAATACTACCAATAGTGAACATTGATACAGCTCTTCCTCCGTGAAGGTGCCTTTCAAAGCACTTAGCACATATCAACTCATTTAAAATCTCCCTGGCAGATGCCAGGGCCAGGACCTAGAGGAGGGGGACGGGTCCGTCACAGCTCAGGAGAGAGTGACACACGTGTGTGTCTCTTGTGAGAACTCAGCCTGTACCAGGCCTGTTCCCAAAGTTCACAAAGAACGAGTCCGCCTGAGCCTGGCTTCCACGCGGTACCTCCCTCCGGCGGTGGAAAGTACAGGCTTCCCCAAGAAGCCTGTGGGGGTGCCAGCCTGTGGGTGGCCATGAGGTCAGACAGGGCACAGCTGGGCACCCGAACACTGCCTACACTCCCAGCCTTCTGGCAGCAGTTCCCTTAAGCCAGGCCCTCGGGACCCAGGCTGGGGAGCAGAGGAAGCAGCCACAGTAGGTCAGGCCTCACGCTGCCCAGACAGAGCCTCCCCCCAGGACTGGGAATGGAGGGGCAGTGCTGGCAGACATGTTGGCAGTTCTGAGCTGGCCGGGAGGTCCCTGCCAGCCAGGCCCCTGAGGAAACACCCACAGCAGACAGCGGAGCCCACTCCCCCATCGCATCCCTCCCACTGCTCACCACCCATGCAGCTCTGAGGCACAGTGGCCTAGGCCTGACGACCCCCATAACTTGGCCCTAGGACTCTGGGCGCTGTCGGCCTCCCACTGACAACTCCACCTTTGGGTCCTGATCAGCGACCTTGCGACTCCTGCACACAGACGGACCCCGCAAAGACTGTCACCTCCAGCACAGTCAGCTCCCAAGTGCTGGACCTGATCGGGGTAGTTGTGAGAGAAACCATTTTTCGAGGATGCTGGAGGTGGGGGCCGCCGCTGAAGTCCGGGCGCAGGGCTGGAGGAGTGGGGGCGGAAACTTTCCGCAGGACTGTCCCGCTTGCTCACTCCATGGGAGCGGAGATGATCCGGCTTCCCGCGAAAATCTGGTCCAGGGAAAGGGACCCCGGAAAGCAGCTCCGCAGGGCTGTGGCCGCCCCACCCCGACCCGCGCTGCGCCCACGTGCCGGGCCCGACCCCCTCCTGGAGGCGCGGCGCCGGCTGAGGTCAGGCGGCCGAGGACCCCGCGGCTCCCCGCCCCGCCCCGCGGGCCCCGGCGCACGGCCGCCGCGTACTCACCCTCGCGGGTGGAGCGGGGCGGGGCAGCACAGTTCCGCGCGCAGCTCCGATCCGCTAGGCGCACCGACCGGCGGCGCAGCGCTGGCGCGACGGCTCCGCTCGGCCCGGTCCCTGTCCCGGGCGCGGGGCCGGCCTGGGAGCGGGCGAGTCCGCCTGCAGGGGAGGCGGGGGCCGGGGCCCGGGCTGAGGGCGGGGAAGGGGTTGGACACGCTTGCGCACACGGCGGCCCGACTCCCAGGAGCTACCGGGCGGGGGAGAAAGGGCGGGGTGGAGGAGGGGGGAAGGGGGGAAGGGCGGGGGCGATGCTGCGCGGTCGCCGGCTTGGGATGGTGTGCGCGCCTCCGAGGCCCGGACGGAGGCGAGCAGGGGCGCCGGGGGTGCCGGAGGGGCGGAGAGGCGGAAGAGGAGGCCTGATGGGGTGAGCACAGGGCCAGGGCAGGCGCTGCCTGTGAGTGGCGCCAGGGTGGGTATGGCCAGCGCAGCCAATGCGCACCCTCCCGGGAACAATGAGAAATCAAGAAAGGGTTCAGTGCTCTGTCGCACGGGCAACCGTGTCCTTCCCTCACTGGGGAAACTGAGGCAGAGGGGAGGTAGGTCCTTCTTCCGGGAGCCTATGCTTCCCATGCCCCATGCACGCAAGGCAGCCAGTCAGTCCCCTGGGCCCAGACGTGGGCCCTTCCTCTGCTTCGGTTGGGGCCTGCCACCTCCCAACTGCTCCCTCTGCACCCCTCACTTGCATACTCTTTATCTTGGCCTCAGAAAGTTTCTCAGTTTCCTTTCCGTTATTGAAGGCGCCAGGCATCCTGTCTCCAGGAAGAAACCCCTGGGCCCCTGACCCTGGTTCCTTAGACCGAGGCATTCCCCCAATAAACCTGGGAACTGCCCAGGCTGCAGAACAGTTCAGAAGTCACCCTGCAGGACAATCCACAGCCCCCTAGGCCAGTCCCTTTCGTAGGTCAGCATGGTGTTTCCGGAGCCCCAAGTGTGAACAGCCTTGTGCCGGCAGCGCCAGGGGCTCCAAGGAAAGTGTCAGACCCATTCCCTGTCCCTAGGAAGCTTACCATCCAGCGGCACAGAGAAGGCTCACCATGGACTCCATTCAAGAACGAGGCAGGATAGGATGTGACTAAGTGCAAAGTGTGAGTAACTGACAGTAAGTGCAAGGGGGTTCAGAGAAGTGGCAGCTCCAAGCCTGCTTCAGCTGAAGCTGGAGGACTTATCTGTCAAGAACCCCCAACTCAGGAAGCTCTGCTCCAAATGAGCTGAATAAGGAGAGTCTGCCTCCAAGTTGTTCCTCTGCAGCTGACTGTGCTCCATCCTAAATCATTCCTTGCACGGGCAGAAGCTGTTTGGCATTTCACCAGTGTCTCATTTTGTTTGAATATGGTTCCTTTGGCTTAATCAGTCAAACATAGATTCAACAACTGTTTATTTATTGATTGATTATTTTGAGACGGAGTCTCTGTCACCAGGCTGGAGTGCAGTGGCGCCATCTTGGCTCACTGCAACCTCCGCCTCCCAGGTTCCAGTGATTCTCCTGCCTCAGCCTCCCAAGTAGCTGGGACTACAGGCGCCCACCACCACGCCCAGCTAATTTTTGTATTTTTAGTAAAGACGAGATTTCACCATGTTGACCAGGGTGGTCTCGATCTCTTGACCTTGTGATCTGCTCGCCTTGGCCTCCCAAAGTGTTGAGATTACAGGCATGAGCCATTCAACAACTATTTATTGCATGCCATCTCCAGGCCTGGAATTAAGCTGGGTATAAAGAACACAATGACTAAGTCCCTGCCTTGGGCAAGTCGAGGAAGAGGGAAGAGCCTCCTTGTTCTACAGATGGGAAAACTGGCCCAAAGGGAGTAAGCAGCTGCCCTCAATAACTAGGTGAATCTGGCAGAACTGATCCAAGCATCAGCCCAGCCTCTAAACTTGGCCATTTGATGAACTAGATCTAAGCACAGTTTGCAGTTCTTTTCGTGAATCACGTAAATGTCACTCTACCAGAAAATGGAACTTAAGAACCAGCATTTGTTCCTGGAGACCTGAGTTCCAACTCTATCTCTGCCACTAAATAGCTTTAGTTTTCTTACTAGGGGGGAAAAATGGAAATAACTGCTTATTGAAAGGCCTATTTGTTGGCATTAAATCAGGCAATGGATGCGAATTTGCTTTGAAAGCATAACTTGCTATATGTAAGTGTGTGCTGTTACTATGCAGGTGGCATGCCTTTTCTAACCTATAAGCTGTATTCAGGCCTCTCCCCCTCCTTCCCCCAGCTTATCCCAAGCCTGGTTACTAGGTGCCCAGAAGCTAACTGTAATTCTGCTCCCCTCAGGTTAGGCCACAATGTGCTTACTCATGATGATCTTTTCCCTCCAGTTTCTTAACAGCACGGCCAGAAGCTTAGCTCACTGCCTAGAAGCCATATCATCTTTGGGGCAGGAGGGAAGCAATTCTGGTGCCTTTCTCTCTTCTTCTCTTCTCTTCTTTCTTTCTCTCTCTCTTTTCTTTCTTTTTCTTTCTCTTTCTTTCTCTTTTCTTCCTTCTTTCCCTTCTTCCTTCCTTTCTCTCTCTTTTCTTTTTTCTTTTCTTTTCTTTCCATCTTTCCTTTCCGTCTCCTCTCCTCTCCTCTCTCCTCTCCTTCTGCTTTTTTGACCCCAGGCACCCCTTTGGTGCAACTACAGCACATTATGAGCAGCTCAGCAAGAGGCAGTAGGATGGGGTAAGCAGGGCTTTGGCCCATGGGGACCATTTCTTTTGGATGTTAACTGTGCCAAAGTGGGGCCAAGGTAACCTGAGGAACATGCCCCTTCCAAGCCACCAGTGCTGCCTCCATTCCCATTTCCTTTGCCTCCCAAACTCTCCTGTGTTTCTCCTTGGTGGAAGTGGCAGGACACCTCTGTGCTGGGGCAACCAGAGGGGCCTCAGGAGCAGAGGGAGGAGCAGGTGCATCTAGACCTGGGAAGCCCTGGCCCTGCGGCCCTTCTCTGGCAGGAGTGGGTGTGAGCAGCAGCATGGAACAGCTCCTGTCTCATGTGCCACGTTAGTATCCTGCCCACCAAGAGGAGGGAACAGCAAGATGTGTTTGAGGAAGAAATACACCCCATCCAGCATCTCAGATGCTTTTAAAAATAGCAACTCCAGGATGGTATTTCAGCTCCTATTTTTATCAGATTTATATGGCTGGACCATGGAGCTGAGCTGTTCCCAGGGTTCTCAATAGCAAGGGACATCACTGTTGTTGTGTTAGCTGAAATGCATTCCAGGAACCTGTAGGCTGAAAGAGATCCTGAGAAGTCATTGCACGCAGCCCCTGCCTCTGTTTAGGGCCACAGTCAATTAACCGCCAAAAGTTTATGGCTTTTTTCCTTAAAACCTCTTGGTTGGCCAGGAACGGTGGCTTATGCCTTTGGGAGGCCGAGGTGGGCAGATCACCTGAGGTCAGGATTTCGAGACCAGCCTGCCAACATGGTGAAACCCCATCTCTACTAAAAACACAAAAATTAACTGGGCGTGGCGGTTGGTGCCTGTAATCCCAACTACTCAGGAGGCTGAGGCAAGAGAATCACTTGAACCCGGGAGGCGGAAGTTGCAGTGAGCTGAGACTGAGCCACTGCGCTCCAGCCTAGGCAACAGAGTGAGACTCTGTCTCAAAAAATAAATAAATAGGGCCGGGCGCGGTGGCTCAAGCCTGTAATCCCAGCACTTTGGGAGGCCGAGACGGGTGGATCATGAGGTCAGGAGATCGAGACCATCCTGGCTAACATGGTGAAACCCCGTCTCTACTAAAAATACAAAAAACTAGCCGGGCGTGGTGGCGGGCGCCTGTAGTCCCAGCTACTCGGAGGCTGAGGCGGGAGAATGGCGTGAACCCGGGAGGCGGAGCTTGCAGTGTGCCGAGATCGAGCCACTGCACTCCAGCCTGGGCAACACAGCGAGACTCCGTCTCAAAAAAAAATAAATAAATAAATAAATAATAAATAAATAAAACTTCTTGGTTCCATGCGTAGTCTAGCATTTCATAGTGCTTCTAATCAGGAAGTTATTTTTAATATTGTCTTTGTTTGGTCTGTTATACGAAGTATAGACTGGGTGGCTTATAAGCTACAGAAATCTCTCACAGTTCTGTAGGCTAGAAAGTCTGAGATCAAGATGCCAGCAGCCTGCTTCCTGGTTCACAGAAGGTCATCTTCTCACTGTAACCTCACAGTGAGGGGAAAGGCCTAGGGGTGACTCTAGGATCTCTTCTAGGAGACACTAATCCCATTAATGGGGCCCCCTACCTTCATGGCCTAGTCACCTCCCAAAGGCCCCACGATTGCCTTGGGGGTTAGGATTTCCACATATGAATTTTAGGGGAACACAGACATTCATGCCCAAATATCTCTAGTTCCATCCTTTTGGTCACTCTCAGACCAGAACATTTACTGAGTGATTACTATGTCCCACAAAATTCTTATTTAACCCTCACAAAAACCCTCTGGGGGAAGCACTGTGATCACTCCTATTTCATGAGCAGTTATGTAACTTGCCCCAGATGAGACTTGGTTATGGCACAGATTCTGTTGGAGCCATCAGACCACTCTGCTTCCCAAACAGGGGAGGAACAGAACATTAAAGATTTTCTTGGCCTTGGCTTTCATTTCTTCATCGTGGTTCTGAAGGGAAAATTGGCTAGAGTCCTAAATGTATGTGGGGGCCCACACTCGAAGCTCAGTTCTCAGTGCCAGCCACACTGAGCCCTGGTCTCCCTAACTTCTGGGCCTTTGCTCTGCTTGTCATTGGGCTGATGACCAAGATCCAGCCTAGAGCACAAGAAAACAAACACTGCGTGATCTCACGTGTAGAACCTAACAAAGTGGAACTCACAGAAGCAGAGAGTAGAGTGGTGGTTATCTGTTGGAATGGGGAGATGGTGAAAGAATGCAAACTTTCAGTTGGGTGGGAGGAAGAA